ATTTTTTACTCACGGCTGCGCAAACACAACTGACTGCTGATGACGGCCCTCTGCTGCTCGTCGTTCGGTTATTTTGTGGAGGGCCCACTGTACTTTTACGATTGTCTCCGGTGAACAGTGCTCCTTTTGCCGCATGGCTCGTATTTGTTTTTATGGAATTAAAAATTCCTGCTGGCAAAGGGCTTTAATTAAGCGGCGTCGCAAAAAGGCCAAAATGTTTTTATTTTGTTCCAACAAAGGGGTTTTTAAAGCACATTTGTAGTTTTATGGAAAGAAACGGATTTGGTCAACCAATTATTTTATATCTAAAGTTGGTTTTGGTGCTTTTGCAGAGATTTTACAAGAGCAGTATTAATTCCAAGATTAGCTGGATTTAAGAGGGTCATAATTATGAGTACCTTACAAATGTTTGTCCCTGTTAAGCTTTGTTTCCATTTTGTCTTAAATATTTATTTACCTAAGCAGCATTTAAATTGGAAATATAATATAATAAAATAAATTGCTTGTCTTAACACCTATGTATACACACAAGTTTATTTATAAGGCTTAAATTAATCCCTATATTGAAAAGCTCTTTATTTTTGGTGGTGCTGCTTTAAAGTTTGCAATATTTTTTATCTCTTGTATTGGCCAGTCAAACCATTGTTTTATTCCCCTTGCAACCCATCGATTGGAGTTGTTTAAAATGTAAATGGTAAAAGCATTGCTGTGATAAGCACCACATTTGGCACCTGCAAACACTAAAAAAATAACTTATATTAAAAGTATTATTCTTTCACGGCTGCTGTGCATATTGTGCATTAATAAAAAAAGGAAGGAACAGAATGGGAACAAAGCGGCAATGCTTTCAACTGTAATGATAAATGAACGCAAACTCTGAACATAAATCAACAAAGAGAGGGGGGCGGGCACCTCTGATGTTACTGACGGGATAAGCCCGACTTCAGCCGCGAACTAACTATATATGTATATTGTATATATATATCGCCATAGCAGCAGCCCCCTTTTGGATGATTTAAGCGCGAGTGCCTCGACTCCAAAATGTGTTGTGGGAAATATGCATAAAAGGAACACGGCAAAGTATCACGGGAAAACAGAGGAGCACCCGGGAATATATAGACACGCTCACATATTGTTGTGTGTGCATGCGTACAATATTTTTAATTTTTCACATTTTTTAACAAATGCAAAAAGGAGTAAAAGACAAAGGTGCAGACCAATCCCAATCCCGAACCTGGCCCACAGAGAGACACCTACGGAGCGCGAAAGACCGCCCGGAGGCAAATGGCACAGCCACAATGGCATCCATGTGGGTCACCACCCCCTCCCGCCGACACAAGCACGCCCACCCCCTCCCCTTCAATCCACTTCAAGCCACCCCAACACCCCCCAACCCACTCCACCACATCCATATGCATTCGCATTCGTTGCCGTTTCGAGTTGAAACATTTTTTATAAAATTTCCCAAAGTATTCAACGGGCATACGGGAATATTGAACATCAAATTTAATGTTTATTCTCAAATACATGCAATTAATAAAAATAAATACCTCTATATTGAATCTTTATTTGTTTCTTAATCTTTTACTAATAGCTTATTTCATTGTGTTATTTATTAACACTCTTAAGAGGAATCTTTAAAATATAATATTTAATATATTTGAAATAATCATGATTAGTACTCACTTTTATTTGTGTATCAGGAATTAAAATAGCTGGAAAATATTTTTTTTTTTTATTTGTATTATTATATTTGATTCCCCAAAACACCCTTTAAGTAAAATACGAGGCATTTCCCATTCGAACCCCTATTCTCTCAGCCATTTCACTTGTTTCGAAATTGCATTGTGAATAATGTAGTGTTAATTCTCGAGAGTGCCATGTTCCCTGTTTTATGGGTTTAATGCTTTTGTTTATTGGTCTGCTGTTGCGTCAAGTAAGGCTTCGGCTTCGGCTGGACTTCGGGGCAAGGATATGGCAGGACATGTGGACTCACAGGAAGGGATTCTCTGGCGCTGCTGCTGACATGCGATAAGAAAGCGCGCATTGTTTGGCCTTTGGCTTTTAGCCTCGTAAGTTGGCCAGTTGGACAGCTGACACGGTTAACAAATTAAATTTGCATTTCGCTGACCAACGCCCTTTCTATTAGTTGCCATAAATATAATCCAAGCCGAGCAATATCATAAATATTCAAACTAAATACTCTAATGTCAACACCTCACGAATCAGCTTTTGAGGGAGTGCCATCGAAATATTCCTATTTCTGCCGGAATTGATGTCCCCAACAAACATTTTAATCGATTCTTTACCGCCTTTCAGCACGAACACTTTCCGTCTGCTGTGCATAAATTAAAGTCGTAATGGACAATCAATAATTATGATTGACAATACGGTCGCTGTCGCATATATTCATTAATTGATGGCCTGACACATTTCATTTCAGTGCTGCAAGTCCGCAATTGAATTGCGTTTGTTTGGTTTTGTTGGATTGGCGACTGGCGTAAACATATCGATAAATAAATTTGCAATTCATTTTGTCGACATGTAAAATGTCGTGTGGCGAAAAACGGCTTTATTGAAAGTGCTTAAAAAAGATTTGCAGCCTAAATAATGTGAAAAATGCATAAACCGCAGCGTTTAATAATTCGACAAAAATGCAAGAAATAAAGGAAAATAAAAATTGAATATGTGGATATGTGATATCCTGTAATTTTTTTCATAACTATATATAACTTATTTGATTTGTGAATTAAGAATATTTTGTCTCATTTATGAAGACAGAATTTAAAAAAAATTAGTTGTAATATTTATAAAAAACTAATAGTTTTCGGTTTTGTAGTAATACGTTTCTCAGAGAAATAAAATTAATTACCAGAATTTTAAAAGAGAATCCATTCGACTAATGCAATAAAAATTTTTACAAGCCATTACCCTTTCTCATATAAATTTAAATGAATATTTTTAGAGCGGCACAACCATTTCTTTTTTAATTTGGAGAGGCACTCCTCCATTTAGTTTAAAGTTGCTTTTCTGTTGAGTTAACTGCTCAATAATAATGCTTTTGTGTGGCAGGATGTGCACATTCGGGAACAACAGCGACACACATGGCCACACACACGACAGACCCGAATAAACAATTTTAATAATTTCGTTTTATGAAAATTGCGCTCGGGTTAAATGATTCGAGAGGAATGTGGGTACAGGAAAAGTCGTAGCGTTTAATGTTTTGCACGGCAAAACTGTTCGCATGGCTGGCGGCATTGTTCCGCCCACATACCGCCCTCTGGCTCAAATTTCAATCATTCTGGAAACTCGGAAACCTTTGACCCGCCCCGAAACTGGACCCAATCCAATCAGCACAAGTCGCTGCTGCAAATCTCTTTTAAATGAGCCACTAATTGCGAACTGAAAGATAATACACAAAGACCTAGAGCCCAGACCCCAGCTACAAACTAATCAGGACAGGACTGGGTTTGCTGAAACGAAATGGGGGCAAAAAAAAATTCTCTAGTTAAAGGAGCAATTATCGCAGAGATAGGAGGAACGAGTTTTTGTTTTGCGGCAAGTTTCGAGCTTAACTTTTGCTCTCTGTTTGTGAGGCACGTTTATCAGTCGGTAAGTTTTTCCCACTACTCCTAACTCGCTCTCCCCTTTTGTTAACTTTTCGCCTTACTAATGTCTATCAGAGATATAAGGCCAAACTTTTATTTTGTAAGCAATGTCGGCTATCTGGCGGAGCTTTTAAAAAGTTACCAGCACATATGCTGGATCCCTCACAGATCCACTTCCATGTATTTACATAGTTCTAATCAGGGTGGGTGATTTGCAGGAAGCTTCCAACTCGGCTCGAGTGGATTATGGCACATGTCTGGCCACAAACTTCAAGGCAACTTGTTGTGGTTAATCAAAAATTTGTGCTAGATTAGCAAACTTTTACATCTTTCACTGCGAGAGTGTGAAAACAGAATTGATGAGTCGCAAAAGTACTCTTAATAACATCAACACGATTCAATAAATATACAAGATTGAACATTTCGACCGAAATATAGTTTTTAATATATTTAGCTTATATCATTTGTATTTAATATCAGCTATTTATTAACAAAAAAATATAGATAAAAAAACCAAAGCTTCATTTTTGTTTACAGGACTTTTTAGTCTGGTACTTAAAATATTTTTTTTCTATTCAACATAGTTTTAGTTAATAACTTCTACTTTGTATATAGTTTTAATTAATAAATTCCATGTTGAATGGAGTATTTACACAGTGAAATGGTTTGAGTCCCACCTGAAAATCAATTAACGAACTATTTTACTGTGTTTTCAAACTGTTTGCAATCATTAGCTGGGCCGGATTAAAATATACACACAATTCGCACTTTCATATTCCATCTCTTAATCAATTTAATTATAGAGAACCTTTTTAATGAAATCCAACGAAATCAGTTGCTGAAAATTAAATTTCTACCGCACAGCGATGCAAAAAGGAAAAAATGTTAAATTTAATTTGATTTATTTGCAGTGCTCGCTTTGAAGTTGTCGTTCAAATGAAGGGGACTCGGGAATTGGGGACTGGAGATTGGAGATTGGGGATGAAGGTACAGGTACAGGAACAGGATACACAGCTAGATTGTGTATGATGAGATTATTTGAATTACCTTTGCAATCAAATTGACACCACATAGACGTCCCGGACTGACAAGGACAGACAGTTGGACAGGAAACTGACAGCGTCAACCGAAAGGTGCTGCCACGCCCCCTCGTCCTCAGCGCCCCCTGTTTGGAAGTGCAGCAGCCGGTTGGGAGCGGAAACTGCAGACAGTCCCGACCATTCGTAGTACTACTGGCCAAGTGTCAGTCGGAATACTTTACATTATTTATGCCAGCACGTCCAAAGGAAATTTTCACTAATGCCCAAACATTTTCACCTGAAACTCGGGGCTCAGAGTAGGCCGATAATTCAATGTATGTATGTAGCTGGAATTCCATCCACTCCACATTAGCTGCCATCACCGACGACAGCACGACGTAGCACATTCCGGAATTAGTACGTACATAATAATAATAATCATCATAATGTCGGATTCGAAAATGGAGTACAACTGGGGCGATTTGGGTGTGCCGCAGTTGGACGGCTTTGCATCCGAAATATCCGAGTGGTCGAGCAAGGATGACATCTTCATCACGGCCACCGAGGAACTGCCCAGCCTCCAAATGCACCGGGAGCAGGTGGAGCAGATCCAGCGACGTGGCAGCCTCATCCTCAGCCAGGCCCAGCAGCATTCCCAGGTGTTGGTGGGCAATCTGTTCAAGAATCTGAGAATTACCGGCAAGAAGCCCATATTTCCTTCCCAGGTGTCCGCTCCGAAGGTATGGTTTTACTAATTTTCAACTGAGGCTTATTTTGAGTATTTAAAAACTGGAAAATTTCGATTACAAAGTTATAAATAATTAAATAAGTTTTAAGGAAAACTAATTTGAGCAATTCGTTAACTTTTGTTGTATATTTTTGTTAATTCCTAAACCCCAACTAGGCCTATCGCTTCAAGGACATCTATTCAAGCCGCAAGGACCAGCTAATCCGCGACTGTGTGGAGCAGGAGCGTAAGCTGCGTGAGTTCCGCAGTCGACCTATGCCTGATTTTCGGCAGGTGCACGAACGCCAGGCCATGAAGGTGCCCATTCATCGGGTCACCTGTCCGGTGACCCCAAATGTGCTGAAGAATTCGTTGCAAGTGGAACAAAGGCGCCGTTTAAAAGTGGAGCAGCTGCAAAAGGAGCAGGAACAGGAGAACAAAAAGCGTTTTCCAAGGGCCAAGCCCATTCCACTGAGCAGTCGGCAGGCCTTGAAGCCGCTGAATCTTCAATCGTGTACTAGTCAGGTGAAAATTGAGCCCTTTAATCTCTCCTCCGAACTGCGTGTTCAGCAGCGGCGCATCTATAATGTCAAGAATTCCATGGCCCAGGACGCGAAACGCCGGGAACTGGAGGAGCAGCGTCAGCGGGCGGAGCGGGAGGCTTACCAAAAGCAGCGCCAACTAACCAAGTTCCGAGCTCGACCCAACCCATTTGCACTCAGCGCACGTTGACCAGGGAGTTTCCTCTTATTGTACTTTTTTTTTAATTTGGTTTCGATTTTTTGTTGCAAATTTGTTTTGTTCAAAGAAATTAAATTACTATAATCACCAGCAAGTAACCACCGAAGCAAACTTACACTTGAGGGCAAAGAAATAGCGTTCCAGAGGAATTTTTTTAAAATTCATTATTTTAGGTAGAATAATATTACACTTTTAAATGCAATTTTTTTTCATTTACTTGAATTGACATTTACAGAAAAAGATTCAATAATGCATCTTATAATATTATATATCTTTATCTAAAAATACAGTAGTAACAGTAAAGTAATTTAATTTATGTATGGACTTACACGCTATATGATAAAAACCATTTCTATTAATCTATTTTTATTTTTTTGTTAGTCCTATTCCTGGGCCCTCTGTTGTAGCTGTGCATGTGTATGGATACGAACATTCAATTTGTTCATTTAAAATGGTTTAGGTCGGTGGCTCCATCAATCAAGTGGTCCTGCCCCCAATCCACCTATCGGTACATATATATATATTCCCTGCCCGAGATCCGATCCAATCCAGTCCGCAGGGCAACGCCCACGTGTTCCACTACAAACAATTTGTTGTAAGTGTATCAATTGATGCGCCTGCATGTGTGTGGGTCCTGGTGGGTGTGCGTCAGTGTGAGTCACATAATCAAAAGCACAAATACTAAAACAAGCACTCAAACTGTCAAAGCGATGATTGATAGTGTTGACATTCGCTTTTTGGCTCCAGCCATCAGCCATAGGATCTGACTTTTTGTGCACTGAGCTCCTGTTAATGGGACGTTTTGGCGGCGGCCTCGTCCTTTCAAAAGATTCCATCCCCACATCTCCCTAGTCCCCGAGAACCCCTCACAAATCCCCTATTCCGCCGCCAGATCATCACCGTGTGTGTATGGCTGGATGATGAATTGCATTGCATGTGTTTATCGAGGTACACTGAAACAGGTATTTATTGCAAATTTGCCTAGCAGGTTTAAAGGTGAGCATCCATCACCTAATCTCGTTTGAATTGGAAATTAAATGCAATTAAATTGGGTGAAGCTGTTTCAGAGACTTTGCTTGAGAGAATGGGAATTTTTTATGGTCTGCTTTTACATAAAGTTGCGTATATAATTATTAACATTTTAATTTATTACTACTTCACTTATTGCACCAGTTCCGAATATAAGTTTTTAATTTGTACAAATTTAGACTTTAAATTTTATTTCGGAGATTTTTATTATTTATTTATTTATTTTATTCCTCGTCAACGAGTGTTCTGTTTAAACTGGGAAGTTTTCCGCCCTCTTATTTACAGTTCTATTAACAGTCGCATTCTGACATTGGTAGCCAGTACAATATCCTGTTCATAACATAGAGCCACCCGAACCTTAACAGCCTGCCAAAACAAGGACATGGGGAAAACTGTGCTAACGGTTAACAGTGCTAGTGGGGTGGCTGATAACATTGAACTGTAATCAACAAGGACATGTCGCTGTTACCAATAACAGAACGACCATTTTACTGTACAGTCAGTCGTAACAGCGGAATGCCTGCCGCCTTTAAGGATTGTTGTCCCAAATGGCTGGATCCGCCGCTCTTGTCGACGCGGCACTTCGATGCACTTCTGTAAACTTTGAATTTAATTTGTTGGTCAATACAAAACTTCATTAATATGTGAAGGATTATAGAAGGATTTATTTATATTGATATTATCTAAAAATGTCATTAATTGCATTACTGATAAGTTTGCTATTTAAAAATAACGCCAAAAGAAAAAAAGTGATTCAAACTTGTAACATATAGGGATGAAATTTAGTGGGTAGAAATAAATTAAAATAAATTTTAAGCAAGGCACTTTAAAGTGCTTTCAATGCCAAGTACCCAATCCTTTCGGTTTGGGGACGGCAGATCCTCTAAACCCAATTCACCAGGGATTAGCCTCTTTGCGGCAGCCACTTGCCTGAGAAATCAGAATATATGCTCCAAGTATCAGGTGACAAGCATCGAAGTCATAATCACGAGCTCGAGAGAGTGCGTGTCTTGCATTTCGGATGCGGATGCAAAAATCCGCGAAGTGCTGAGAATATTTATACGAGCGAGCAAACAGAGCTATTGCGTATTCAAGGCGGAACAATGTGCCGAATTTGATGGGAGCGCGGGAGTATATGTTTCTTGTGTTATTTTTTGGGTTTTATGGCAAGGAGCTTGCGGTTAAATGAGTGGCCCGGAGAACGGCGAAAGGAGCAAGGAGGCAGGACGATGGATCCGGATGCTCGCTTCTTGTGGAGCGCGGAATTTAATAACGCGCTGATGCATGCAAAATAACGCATAAAAACGTAAAAATGCACACGCAAAAAAGTAAACAAAGCACATACACATTTACGAGTACGTACACCCACAAAACCGAAGCAAAATCGGAGAACACAAAAAGGGGACGGAGGTAGTTGAGCTGCAAGCGCCTCGGTAAAAACAATTTTCGCAGTCAATTTTCTTTTATGAGCAGAAAATATTTCCCTGTGAAAGTATTATATGAATATTGGCAGCCGTCAGCCGTCGGCGGTTTCGGCCTGCGACTGTCTTTTGGTCTGAAAGTGGGCGGTGGGGGAATGGAGGCGTGTCGCAATATCAACAAAAACTTACACAAAAATTGTATGCCCATTTTAAGCGCCACCCAATACACTTTAATTATAATGGAAAGCCTTGGTTACGAAATATCCTTTTTAATTTCTGTTTTCAGTTGTTGATTTTATTAAAAGTTTCAATGAATGATGGAAAATTATGATATAAAAAATGTTGCGAATTAAAAAAGGTCTCTTGTAATAAAAACCTTTTAATTTATTTAATAATGGCATTTACTACCTGAAAAAAGAAGACTTTTGGACGAATAAACATTTGGACTTGGCAAGATCTTCTCGCCTGGTGATGGTGATCGAGAATATGTATACTTAAAATAAAATTATAAAACCCTCTACAAAGGTATAAAAACAAATAAATCAGAACACAACAAAAGAGGAGCGAAGCTAAAGCAGAACGATAAAAATAAAATGCGAGCGAACGCCCAGACTTCAATGAGGCTCATAAAACGAAACAAAAGCGGTGTGACAACGAGTACGAGTACACCAATTGCTGCAGAAAGTCAAAGTCATTAAAATGTAATGTCATCGTCAACGTTCCGCAGCCCCAGACCCCAGAACCCATTTCCATGCCCCGCACTTTTCCGCATTTTCCGCAGTAGCCCGTGGCGCTTAGTTGCCATTTCAACTCCTTCAGCCCTCGTGCGCTCCATTAATGATGGATGACGACTCGACTCGTCTCGCCTAGACCCCAGATCCCAGATCCAGACCCCAGACCCCATACCCCGTATCCCCTCACTTCCCTTCAATTCCCAAGGTTTTCTGCTGCTGCTGCTGCTCACCGAAAATGATTTGATGAAAACATTTGAAATTTTTATCGGGTGCAAATTTATGCAGAACTGTTGATGTCATCGCCGTAGTGTTGGCCGCAGAAAAATGATGACGATGCCGTTGTGACGTTGAAATATGAAGGCGCATTACCTTCTGCTCATTGCTGATTTACCACCCACATCTCTCCGCCCTCCGCCCTACATTTTCCTGCTTTTTCCATTTTCTCCAGCAAAAGCTCTTCCTGTTTTTAAATGTGTGTATGGCAGGAGACGATAAGAAGTTTTTGTCGTTGTTCTTTTTATGGGATTTAATTTTGATTAACATTGGGCCTGCACTTAAAATTTGTAACAAATGACTTTGAAATTGATTGGAAGCTGGCGTTCCTTATTTTATATACACCATAAAGATTTCTACAGTTGAATAGACGAAAAAACGATTTTTTCATTCAAGTGTGGAATTTGTTTTTTAAGAATCGTCTTTGTTTTGCGTTTTATTTACACTGCTGATTTCAGCAAATAACCAAAGGGCTTAACCACATAAAACTGAATAAATAAAATAATGTAAGCATAAAAGTACTTCTCGTCAATATATGTACAAAAAAATCACACTTTTGAATTAAGGCGACGAGTTTTTGCTAACATTTATATAAAAACTGAATTATTGTTTAGAATATTAATTTTTTAAAGTCGATAAGGTATATACTACGTTCGTTACTAAGTATATACAAAGACTTTTAAAATTATTTTAAGACTTTAACATTGTTTGTAAAAATGGTAAAAAGTATTCCTTCAGTTACTTAATTTGATTACCTTTAGAAATTTTAGACTACATATCTCCAAAGTACTTCTTTTTTTGCCAATTTTATATTCATTGGAGTTTTTCCACAGAAACATTTATGGTCGTAACATGAGATCATAGGGAAAATAATTTGTTGCTTCGTTTGTGACTCAGGGTTTATTGTGGTCCATACACCTTGGCGAACTTTTATTGTGGCGCATCTATTGCATAAACTTTAAGCAAATTGCAAATGAAAGTTTCTGGGATTTTACATGACAGTTTATGGGTTTGAAATGTAAGTGCTGGGTGTGCGTATGGGGGAGTGTGGTGGGGTGGGTGCAGGGGAATATGGGTATATGGTCATGTGGCAGTAATATGAAAGTTTTGCTTTTTTATGCTTCTGCAGGACCCATGGGGCGCAGTAGCTGCTGCTGTCGGTGGCGTCAAGTTTTATTGCCCCACGGCTGGTTCTGGTTCTGGTACTGGGATGCGATTCAGGGTGGTTTCTGGTGGATCAATGCGACTCTGGATGGTGCCGAGTGGTTCAGGTGGACCCTGTGGTGGTGGCACGTGCACTCCCACAGGTGACGATGGCCTCGTTTATGAACAAACAGCAAAATGTTGTCAACATTTCAAATTTATTTGTTCAATATACAAACACACAAACAGATGCCGACATGTGTATGCGGAGGAGTCCTACATATGTCCGTGTGTTGTCTTTTTCGCAGTGCGGGTGTGTGTGCGTGTTATTAAATTAAACACAGAGCTACCATCAGTGGGCCAAAAGCATTCATTAGCCACGTTTACTGCACCCGTGGCGACCTCCATTCCGGCTGATGAGTTTTTTTCTTTTTTTCCGCTTCTTTTTTTGTCTCCCAGTAAAACTTTCTGTGTTTGCCTTTTCTATATACCCAGTAC